CCCCCCCCCCCTTGTACACTGTTCTGGACCAGATGATGATTTCTGCTTTTTTCCCTTCCGGCTGGTCCTCCCTCTGCCCCCTTTGTCTTCTCTTCTGGGGCAAGGGAGGGCTTGTCATATGGGCCACGAAACCCAAGAGCAAGCTTTTCCATCCCTTTGTTTTTCTTTTTATTAGCTTTTAATTTCAGCAGCAATGAACTGGGGAGAGAGGGCAACAACTAGCCTCGTCCTTCTCACTTTACTTGAAGGATGCCAAGAGGATTTCTCTTGTGTGCCGCCTTGGGTCCCTTTTGGGGAGAAAGGTGGCGTAGAAATGACACAAAATAAGTCAATTTAGCACTTATTTTGAGAGGCAAAAATGTAATTTGGAGAGGCAAAAACCAAGCCACACTCTCTCAGCCCCAGGGGAAGGCAATGGCAAAACTCCTCTGAACAAATCTTGCACAGAAAAAAACAGGATAAGTTTGCCTTCGGTTTGCCATAAGTTGGAAATGACTTGAAGGCTCACAACAAGAAGAAGGATGACAAATTCTGCCAAGGAAACCCCATGATAGATTTACCGTAGAGTCGCCATACAACAGAAATGACTTGAAGACACCCAGTGGCCTTCCAACAACACTAACACAACACTAACAAATTCTACCAAGTAAACCCTGTGTTAGGTTCACTTTAGGATTGCCATAAGTTGGAAATGACTTGAAGGCTCACAACAGGAAGAATGACAAATTCAACCAAGAAAAACCCATGATAGCTTCACCTTAAAGTCGCCATAAGTCGGAAATGACTTGAAGACACACAACAACAACAACAACAACAACAACAACACATTCTGCCAAGAAAACCCAGTGTTAGGTTCACCTTAGGATTGTCATAAGTCAGAAATGACTTCAACACATACAGCAACAACAAAGTGAAGCTTTGGGATCCAGATTCAGAGGTCAGGGACATTATTTTATATATATGTATATCCATCCTCAGTGGCCAAGGTAACTGGGGGATTCTGGGAGCTGTAGGCCAAAAAAAGGAACTTTCTCAAGTTTTGGGTTAGCATTCCAACCATAAAGGCCCAGACATCGAATGAGGAGGACTAGTATCTCAGTATTTCAGAGAAGTGCCCATTGTTGAGAAACAGAAGAAGCAGACTGAGATGATAGGAAAAGTAAAGTCTGGTGAAAGATAAAGTCATCCTTGGATGCATTTTGGAAGCAGCCATTGAATGGTCTCCAGAAGTTTCAAAATGTTTTGTGGACTTATGCAAGGCTTCCATGACCTGGTTGTTTCACTTCTTATACACAAAATTCCCTTCTTTTTTGTTGTTGCTGTAGGAACCTATGTGGCTTAGCGGTTTGAGCGTTGGACTATGACCCTGGAGACCAGGGTTCGATTCCCAGCTCAGCCATGAAACCCACTGGGTGACCTTGGGCAAGTCACATGCTCTCAGCCTCAGGGGAAGATGATAGTAAGCCTCCTCTGAACAAATCTTGCCAAGGAAACCCCAGGATAGCGTGATCTTAGGATTGGCGTAAGTTGGAAACAATTTGAAGGCACACAACAACAGCAACAAGAACTAACCTATCCCCGTTCCCAGGGTTTAGATCTCCACACAGCTATGGGTGACCTTGGGCATGTCACACTCTCACAGCCTCAGAGGAAGACCATAACAAACCTCCTCTGAAGAGATCTTGGCAGTGAGAGCCAGTGTGATATAATGGTTTGAATTTTTGGACTAAGACTCTGGGAGACCATGGTTTGAATCCACAGTCAATGGTGGAATTGGTGACCTTGGCCAAGTCACACTTTCTCAGCCTCAGTGGAAGGCAATGGCAAACAACTCTGACTAAATCTTCCCAAGAAAACCCTATTTTTACATCTGGCATGGTGTAGTGATTTGAGTGTTGAATTGGAAGACCAGGGTTCAAATCCCTATCTGAGCATGGAAACTGACCATGGGCAAGTCACACTCTCGCAGCCGTAGCAGAAGGTAAAGGCAAACCCTCTCTGAACAAAACTTGCCAAGAAAACCCTTGGAGAGGGTCACCATTCATCAGAATTAACTTGAAAGCCCAGAGCAACAAAGGAAATTATTGTTGCAAACAATGAAATGGGCATATGAACCAGAAATGTGTGCGAATGGGGCATGCTATTGAAAAGGACTGTATTGGAACAAAACAGAAAAAAATGGATCTCTCTGCATATTGTGGGGTATAAAGAGGAGACAATGGTCCCTTAGTTTTTGGATATGATCATGTTCCCCCAATCCTTCAATACCAAATTGGGCCAAAAGGAGTTTACAGCATCTGCTTCCGCTCCTTATCTCTTGACTCCCTTGCCCCCTTTGCTGAAATCTAAAATTACGTCCTCAGATCTGAGGAGTAAATAAGAAAGAAAAGAAGAAAAGAAAGAACGAGATTTAATTCTGCTTATCACAATTGGGGAGCATCTCTTGAATTCTAAATTGGGGTCCAATAGGAAAAAAAAAAGAGAATGAAGTAGAAAGTAGAAAGGGGGGAGCTGGTTGGGGAAAGGAGGGAGGCAAGCGGAGCCTGTGGTTCCAAAGCCTCGTCAAGGAGAAATCACAGAGCTTTTAAAGAAGGGATTAAGGAAAGTGGTCACTTTTGACTCAGTGGGAAAAAAATCTTTCCCTGACAGTAATGAAAGCTTGGATGATATAAGTATCTTCTGGTTCACAATAGCAATTAATATGGTAATATTCCCCTATTAAAGATGCTAACGCGGGAGATGGAAGTGGCAACATGGATAAAACATTTAATGGAGGGAGGCGAAGGAGGGGTGAGAGAGGAGGGATGCGTTCCGAGAAGACATCAGGTAACAAAGTCAAAAGGAAGAAGAGGCAAGGAGGGTTGTGTATGTGTGTGTGTGTGTATGTGTGTGTGTTTGAGAGAGAGATAGGACCCCCTCCTCCCTGCTCTGTTCTTTAAAATGATATTCTGGAGGCCTCTTCTAGGAGAGACGTTGCTTTCCTCAAGGACAGAAGATGGTACGGCACTCCGCACATCGATAGCGCATCATTCTTTCCTACCTTTTCCTCTCCATCTTTCCTTGTTCAGAGGAGGTTATACCAGGAGCAGTTAGACATTTCCATCTCCGTGCAATCTGTTCTGGATCTTATTCCAGACTTTTAAAGAAAGACTTTTAAAGAAAGCACCACTGGATAGCATTAATGGAGCTGTCCAAGGTGGAGAAGCTGTTTTGAAGGCAGAATTCAGCACCATGGATAGCTCCGTCAAAGCCATCCACAGGCTCAGCATTTCAAATAGCAGCTTCTTGAAATAATGCCCAGCATGGATTCACAACATCTCTGACATGGAAGCCACCATCCACTGAGACCGCAAGATCCTTGGAGCAGGCACCTGCCATTTTATTGTTCTCTATTGAGGTCTGAATCCTATTAACTAGTCTCAACTAGAATAGAATAGGATCTTTATTGCCATCATAGACCAGCACAGTCTCAACTAGAGTTGTTGTTGTTGCTGTGCCCTTTCAAGTCATTTCCGACTTATGGCAACCCTGAGGCAAAACTATTATGTGGTTTTCTTGGCAAGTTTCTTCAGAGGGGGCTGCCACTGCCTTCTTCTGAGGCTGAGATAGTGTGACACACCCAGGGCCACTCAGTGGGTTTCCATGGCCAAACCAGGATTCGAACCCTGGCTTCTAGAGTCGTTGTCCAACACTCAAACTATACACCATGCGGGCTCTCGCCCAACTAGAATATACTCATTGAATCCATTTTTGCATTGTGAACCAGCATATGGGTACATTTAATTGATTCTATTACTCTACTTTAGTCAGGAGTAACTCTGAGTTCCAGGCCATATTTTGTTACTGCTTTGCTGTATTTTCCAATTTATATTTTAAAAAGCTACTCTGTTTTGTTTTGTTTCTTCTCCTTTTCAAAACAACAACAAATCAAAGTGAGTTGCATAAATTAAAACAATCAAATCACAACAACAGACAGAAATCATAAGAAAATTAACACAGCAATTTAAAGCAACAGCAGAACCACATCATCACAGCAGAGGATCTCAAATTACAGAGCAACAGAGTCTAGCGCTGTAAAGGACCATGGCAAAAACAATAGTACAGATGACCTCAAAGGGCCCCTTGAAAAGCCAGGGTGGGAAAACCCTCCTGAAGAAAATCCTCCCTGAACAGATCCGAATTAGGCTGCATCTGCACTGCAGAATGAATGCCGTTTGATTCTGCTTTAACTGCCATGGCTCCATTCTGGCATTTGTAGTTTTCTGAGCTATTTAGCCTTTTCTGTCAGAGAGCTCTGGTGCCACAGCAAACTACAAATCCCAGGATTCCATAGAGCCATGACAAGTTAAACTGGTGTCAAACTGCATTAATTCTGCAGTATAGCCATGTCTGGAGTTTATTCCAGTTTCCCCCTGAGGCCAAGAGAGTGTGACTTGCCCAAGGTCAGCCAATAGGTTTTCATGTCAGAGTAGGGATTTGAACCCTGGTCTCCTAGAGTCCTAGTCCAACACTCAAACCATTACACCATGATGCCTCTAAAAAATAGGGGTTTTATTGGCCAGATTTCTTCCGAGTTTTCTGTTGCTGTCCCCTGAGGCTGAGAGAGCATGACTTGCATAAGGTCACCCAGTGGGTTTCATGGCCAAGCTGGTAATTGAACCCTGGTCCCCAGAGTCATAGTCCAACACTCAAACCACAATGCTATGCTGGCTCTCATACATCCTTCTTAAAAGATGCATCAGTGAGTTAATACTACATTTTGCTCTCCATCCTTGGAGAGCAAGGATTCAAACCCTGGTCTCCCAAAGTACCAAGCCCAGCACTCATACCCCTACACCACAATGGCTCTCTTCCCCAGATCTACGACAGCCTTTATTTCCCAAGTGTTGTGACCATCATGGATAGACGATATTCTGGTTTTAGTGCTGCGTGAAACTGAACACAAAAGTTAGGATTGCACAAGCCATCGTTTTCCCTATTCCCATGGATGGATGTGAGAGTCAAGAAAGAAGATAGGAGGAAAATCAACTCATTGGAGATAATGTGGGGCTAGAGAAGAGTG